TTACCTGCTCTTCTCAAATCCGACATCTCAGCTGTCAGCAGGTCTCTGGGTTCTACTTTCAAAGCACATCTCTAACGTGTCCACTTTTCTCCACTCTTCCTGTATCACACAGCCTGAGCCACTTCAATTTACCGACTGGACTTCCTGCTTCTGCTCTTCTGGCGGCCCTTTTTCTGACTCAGAGCCTTGTTCTAGCACTTTCCTCAGCTCGTAACACTGTGCCGGCTCTTCGTAGGCTAATCCCTCTTACCCTTCAAGTCTTTGGTCATGGGACCCCTTCTTGGGACTTCCATGACTACCTATCTTCCCACAGTTCACTCTCTATTAAATCTGGCAAGTTATTTTCTAGAGCAATTATCATAATCCAACGTCCTTGTGTGTTTATTTATTTATGCCTCTCTCCTCCAGCTGCATTGCAAGCATCTAGAGCAGAGGTTGACAAATGTTCTCTGTAAAGAGGCAGATAGTAAATATTTTAAGCTTTGTAGGACATATGGTCTCTGTTGCGTCTACTCTCCCATTGTAGCAGGAAGACAGGCATAGATGATACATAAATCAATGGGTGTAGCTGTGCGCCAATAAAACTTATTCAGAAAAGCAGGCTTTTGGCTGTAGTTGGCTCACGGGCCATCACTTGCCGATCCCCTCCAGGGCCATTGCCCTCGTGCATCATTCCCTCCCATGCGCTCAGCCTTGCACACAGCAGGGGCTGCACATAGTCACAACCCGTGATCCTTACCAAAGACCTGGAAGGTGGATAGTTATTTCCATTTTAAAGATGAGCAAAGTGAGGCTCAGTGAGGTTTACTAACTCACCCAAACTCACATCACTATTGCATTAGTCTCCTGGGGCTGCTGTGACAGAGTACCACAAAGCGCTTAATGCAACAGAAGCGTATTCTCTCACAGTTGCGGAAACCAGAAGTCCGAAACCAAGGTGTTAGCAGGGCTCCGCCTCCTCTGAGGTCACTAGAGGAGCACCTTTCCTGCCTTGTCCAGCGTCCGGTGGCTCCTGGCAGTCCTCGGTTTGGGGCATGTCTCTCCATTCTCTGTGTCTGTTTGCACAATGCCTTCCTCTCTGTCTCTCTATCTTCATATGGCCTTCTTCCTGTACGTCTGTCTCTCCTCTTATCAGGACACTAGTCACTGGGTTTAGGACCCATCCTGATACAATATTATCTCATTTTAACTAATTTCATCTGTAAAGACCCACTTCCAAATAACGTCACATTTTGAGTGGACATGAATTTTGGGAGGAGATAGTATTAAATGCACTACAACTATCAAATGGTAGAGTAAGGATTTGAACCTGACCCTATTTCAGTGATTTTCCACTTTGAAGTTATACTCTCAACTACTAAGTTAAATGAACAGTTAACAGTGGTGTCGAATTTTAGAGTTATTTTGAGAAATGATGACTTCAGAGTATCAGTGGGAGAGAACGTTAGGAAGCTTAGCTGGGAGGAGCTTTGTCTAAGTCATTGTTTCTGACTAGTACCCTGAACATGATGTTAGTGCTGACCTCGGGGCATCTGGTACACAACTTATGAACAGAGAGTTAAGACATTTTTCTGCAGATACCATTGGCTGAGCAAGGAAAATCACATTAGCATTTTCATGGTCTCTCTAATTAACGTCTTTGGACACCAGGCTTCTAACTCAGGATTTTCCCCGATCAGGAGAATACAGCTCAGGGTAAGTTCAAGCACATTTGGGAAATACCAGTCCAAACCAGGTAAACAGATTTCTTTACTGTAGTAAATAATTTCTTCTTAGCACTGTTTATTTGTTAAGGTGCCTTGTGAATTTCTAAGAGGGAGGCGTTGTGCACGTTTTTCTAAGTTTACGGGATGTTTTTTGTAGGGCGTCTTCAGAGGCTGGTTGTCTGCCACACGCGGTGGTGCAGCTACTTTGAGTGTTTTCATGTTTATCTACGTGCAGAGAAGTGCTGCTTTTCTGGACTTACATTTCTAGAAGTACACTTCTCTTGGAGTTTAGAAATTGGTTCTGAAGCCTCCATAATGGGTTCCTGGCCGAAGTGAGACACTGACAGGTCACACCACGACACCCACTCACTTATGAGTCAGTCCATTCATTCGTTTATTGGTTTATTCACTCACTAATTTCACATGTACTTATGGAGTCCAAGGAAGGAGCTGAGCACACAAAGATCATCAAGACCAGACTTCTTTTCATCAAGTCTCCAGATAACACACGTCTATCACCATTTCCAGAAGGAATTCTAATAAATGGAAACCACGAGTAACGGACTGACTTGTGTCCCCTCTAAATTCTTACATGGAAGCTGTAATCCCCAGTACCTTTGAATGTGACTATATTTGGAGATAGGGCCTTTAAAGAGGTAATTTAGGTTCAATGAGGTCTTAAGGGTGGGGCCCTGATCCAACAGGAATGATGTCCTTGTAAGCAGAGGGAGAGGCACCAGGGATGGGCAAGCACAAAGAAAAGGCCACGTGAGGATACAGCAAGCAGGTGGCCATTTACAAGTCAAGGAGAGAGGCATCAGGAAAAATCAATGCTTCCAGCACCTTAGTCTTGGACTTGCAGCCTCCAGAACCATGAGAAAATAAATTTCTGTTGTTCAAGCCCCTAGTCTGTGTTGTTTGTCACAGCAGCCCTGGCAGACTAAAAGACCACTGTCCACTGTTCATCAGGCCTGGTCTTCAGGAGCACTACTCAGCTAGTTCCAATGTCTACTGAGGATCTCTAATTCTTCTGTTTGTATTTTAGAAGAGTTTTATGGGTCCCGAATTGGTTCAAACTCCTTGAGGACAAGGCGTTGTCTGTTGCATCCCCATGGTGACTAGCAGAGAGACAGGAATCTGACGGAATGAAGGTATCATCCACATTTCTACTCCCCTCTGTACATTAACAATTCAGAGATGGCCCAACACACCTCGGAGAGAACAGGAAATAAGATGAAGAGAACCACAAAGTGTTAGGCACTTAGCTAGATGCTTCAAATAGGTCTTCTCATTAATACTTCTCTTCAGTTTTGAGGAAACAGCTTTCCCTCATTTTTCAGATGAGGAAACAGAGGCTCAGGGAGGACAGGTGAGTTGGCCACAATCATAAAATCACTGGTAGAGGCAGAATTCAAATTCATTTCCCCTTTAATCCACGCCAGCCCAGGGGAAACAAGTACAATTTGTTAAAAACGAAGAAAAGATGCTGATGAGACTGTTTCATCAATTGCTCAGGCAGAGGAAACAGGAAATCTGGGGGCAGCAGTTATGAAACAGGACTGGAGATTTTAGGGGGCCATGTGTTCATCCAGTGACATCCTCATAACTGACACGGCTGCCCCAAAGTTAGGGGTAAATAAATAAAATTAGTGATTACAAAGCATTTACTATGTGCCAGACACCGCTCTCCATTCTCTACATGTATCCTTGTACTTCTCTTCAGAAAAGCGACTGAGAAAACACCGTGTGTCCTTAGGCAGGTGGCCAGAATGACCAGACTCATTGGCTGCACAGGGAAGGCTTGTTCTGGAGAAACCTGCAGGTGACACGACAGCCGTCTGAAGCAGCCGTGTGAAGCAGGTGGATGAGGGACTCGGGCGTAGGGAGAGAATTCAGGAGGTAGTGGGCCTGCCATTACTGACAGGATTCAGAGAGACATGTCCCTGTAGACGCAGCACCTACATTCAACGGGAAATCAAGTAGTCAAATTCTTAAATTCCTTAAAATTGTATATTTCATATTTTAGGATTCACAAATACCATCATCATCATTTTCTTCATTAACAAAGTTAGGCTTGGAGGAAAAAAATCTTAGAGCCGGATCCTTTCTGGGATGACAGATAGAACACCCAGGAGAGAAACCATCAGTTCTTTCATCACTGCTGCTAAGAGAGATGGTCCCTGGGAAACTGCTGTTCAATTTGAACCCTTCTCTTTATTGATTCTTTTATAATTATACTAAGAAAATTCAGTTTCCAGGTTTCAAAACAGATACCATTACCTGTTTTGAAAGGATTGTCTATTTATTTTTCCTTTATCAGCAGAGAAGCTCATCTTTAATGCCTATCATTGGGCCAGCATTGAGAAGAAGCTTCTTACAACAGAATATGGTTGGCTGTTTTCCTTATCTGGGATCAGTGTTTCTTGAGAAGTACCTACAGAGGCTAAGAAGTGAGTACATGCTGATAGGGAGCATCATTAGAGGAATTAGAGTCTATAATCCATTTGCAGGCGCCACAGAAGTGTGGTTATGCAAAGTGATGGGTCTACCCAGAGCCCCAAATGACAAACTAAAGAGTTGCCCTGTTGTGGGGCATCTTGAGGGGCAATTAGGATAAACTGCAGAACAGTCCTACTGAGGACGGGTCAAGAAAGACTGCGTATAACGGATCCAGAAGATCCAGGCTGTTGGAGGGGTGTGTGTATCAAAATTATCTAAAAAATCACATTGTTGTGGCTCTGAACACTCGGCTAGTAAATGAGAAAGATATGGTAGCAGGAAAAAAAAATGTATCCAGAGAGTGTTCATAACATCGTGGGTGCTCAAGTCATATTATCGCTCCACGATGAAGATGCCAGCGAGGATGATGGTGATTAACGCAACTCATGGAAAATAAGGCTGGGGAGGATGACACAGACAGGGACGAGGCAGGGAGGATGACTCACGGGTGAGGGGTGCCTGGGCACAGAGCGACGTGGTGCGCACGTTGGCGAGCGTGGGGGAGCGGCTCCAGGACTGAGTGGCTGGCAGCTATGTCTGCGAGAGCAGCAGCAGCATCGCCCGGGAACGAGGCCTCGGAGACTCCGCCTAACTGACACCAAACTCATCCTCTCCCTCCCGGGGCTCCGAACTGGAGGCAGGCAAGCCTGGGAGCAGCCTCGGCGGCGGCGGCGGCGGCCCCAGCCCGGCCCCCTCCGGGCCCCGCGCGCCCAGCCCCGCGCGCCCGCATCGGCCGAGCCTGGCGCGAGCCCGCGTCCCCTCGCCGCGCCCCCGCCCCGCGCCCCCGCCCCGCGCCCCTCGCCGCGCCCCCGCCGGCCCGCCCCCGCCGGCCGAGGCCGCATCCGGGGCTGGGTGGATGCACACAACCATGAAAGCCTGGGCTCGCGCTCTCCCCGGCTCCGCCGCCGCCGCCGCCGCTGCTCCTCCTCCCGCCGCCGCCGGGAGGGCTCCGCTGTGAGGGGAGCAGGGGCGCAGCTGCTGCGCGTGCATCCGAAAGGTGAGAGCCGGAGGGCCGGAGGAGGGGCCGGGCAGGCCACGAAAATGTCCTCGGCCGTGGGGCCCCGCGGTCCTCGCCCACCCACGGTGCCTCCCCCGATGCAAGAGCTGCCCGACCTGAGCCACCTGACCGAGGAGGAGAGGAACATTATCATGGCAGTGATGGACCGGCAGAAGGAAGAGGAGGAAAAAGAAGAAGCCATGCTCAAGTAAGCCACCCCCGCCGCGCCATCCTTGCCTCCATCGGTCCATTCACATCCTCTCAGCTGAGTGTGGGCGGCGGGCGGGCGAGGGTGCTGGGTGCGGGCGGAGGCGCCCGCCTTGGGGCCGGGGGCGCTGGGCCTGAGCAGGGCAGAGGTTGCGGAAACAGGAGGAAGGAGGGGATGCCACCGAGCCTGGAGCCAAGGAGCCAGGAGAGGATGGCTTGAGGCTGGGGTGCAGAGGAGGATTGGGTGGGCAGGGGCCACCCTGGGGATGGGCTCTGCAGAAGCTGAGAAGAGCTGATCCCACCCAAGTGGAAGGGCCTCAGGCTGGGAGCAGTTTAGGGGCAGAGCAGGGGTGGAGGAAGGGGAGGTGGGGTGAAGAGGTGCTGAGGACAGCTCCCTGTCTTGGAGTTGTTGAGCAGGTTGGGGCTACCCCGGTGAAGGGTGCCAGCATTTACATAAGAAAAAGGCTTCATTTTAGTGTTCATTTGGTTCTCATTCATCCCACAGATGAAGGTTGGGTCTTTTTTGGGCAGTTGCCATCTTTGGTAACCTGCCTCCCCAGCTTCTCTTTAACCTTTTATTCACAGCCTTCCACACAGAATACCTGTGTGAAGACGTCTTTTCTTACCCATATATACTGCCATTGGCAATGCAAAGTTTTTAATAATGAGTGAAGCTGCTGGGGACTCTGGCCTGAATAAAATAGGGGTTCCTCTTTCCTGGTTTCCAGGAGACCTCTGGGGCCTGCCCGTTCCTGGTGGAGGCAGTACGACAGGGGATGGAGTCTTTGCACACATCCCCGTCTTTAAAACCATCGACCCTTCAAGGGATGTCTGTCCAGTGCCCCATTTTCCTGTGTCTGGGGAGGGGATGGGGCTCATTGCTGGTGGTGCAGGAGTGTGTGACACTGTGCTGCTGGTTGCCTTAGTCTCAGACAGAACTGCTTACGGGGTACTGGGTTTTCCTCGCTCCTTTGTGGCACCCCTACAGTGGAGCTGAAGTCTCTGCCTTCCCCCTGGGGGTCTTCACATTTTCAGGAAAGTTTTCATCTCGGAGTGGAGGAGTTGAGGGACCCCGACTGGGACTAACCCCTTCGTGTCCCCTGTTTAGGCCAGGAGGGGTGTCTGGGGGCAGAGGATGGGCGTGAAGAGCACAGGAAACCTGTTGCATCTGGAGTTCTCTGAGCGCAGAGAAGGGCAGGGAGGGACCAGGGGTGACACCCAGGAGCAGAGCACACCCAGCCGGGCTTCTCCCCCACCCCCAGGACCGCTTCCCAAGAGAAGATGCTGCCACGGAAGGTTTCCTCCCTTCCCCTCAGTGCAGCAGTGCCTTGCAGGAGAGGAATGGAGGGAAGCTGCGTTCACAGGCCAATGGCTCCCCACCAGTGCAACTGCCACCCAGCTGGGAGAGGGGGCTCTTGAGGGAGAGCTGTGGGTGCTGGGTCACAGCAAAGGAGTGGAAGCTCAGTCATTCCTGCCCTTTCCTTGTAGACTCAAAAAGGGGCTGTTAACTCGGAAGGCCAGAGCTGGCCTGGTTCTGTCAAGAGCAGCAGGTTTCTGCGTTCCCTGCTCCTTCTCATCCAAACGCCAAATACTTTAAGCCTGCCGGCTTGAGGGAGGCAGAGCCCTGTTAATCTGCTGCCCGTCCCTAGTGGAACAATGACATCCTTGGTGCTGCAGGCTTCCCCTCTTCTGAGACTGGAAGTAATGGATGGTGTCTGATGGTGCTGCTGTCTGTCTGTCTGGTGTCAGTCTGTCTGTCCTCACTGGTTGCAGCCGCTGCCACTGTCCTGGACACCTTTTCTGCTGGTCAGGATTTATAGGTTTCTACTGTGCTTGCTGTTCGCTGCAGACAGCAGGTGGATAGAGGCCGCCAGCGGCCAGTGGAAAACATGGGCTGCCGCTTGAGAGGATCTGAATAGGCAGGGGCAGGCACGGTGCAAGTGGTGGCCATTGCACGTCACCATGGGCTGCCTCAGGGAGGGTGGAGCTGAGGGATTTTAAGTAGGAGAGGGTGAGTTTTAGGACAGAATCTCAAGCCTGCTAACTGCCTCAGGACAGCGATCAGACTTTATGGGTTTATATGGACAAATAAAAGGAGGAGCACCATCCAAAGGCTTACGTCCAAAACATCCTTCTTGCTGCTGTTCCTCTGACTGCTTTCCACTGGCTTGCAAATATTGTTCCTTCATTGCACGGATTCTCAAAATATTGCAGTCTGTGCTGTGTTATACAATAGCCCTCGCTAATCCCGGACCTCTGCAGTCACTTTATCAGTCAGCCTCCTCTGCTAGTGCCGTGGCCTCTTGTGCAGTGGCGAGTGCTTTGGATTGGGGAGTGTGTTGGAATCCTCTTTGCTGCCATGCAAGCGTGTCGTGTCACCTGCAATTCGTGGAGCAGCGCTGTTCTTTTTTCTAGAGGGCACTTTATGTCTTAAAGACTGGGGATCACGGGGCTATTCAGACGGCACATATATAAAGGAACTTCGTGACACATAGTCAAAGGAGGTGGCCTTTTCTACACTTTGTATAAAAATAGACTGGAAAGCAGGATGCTTTCACAGAGCTTTGAAATGTTTGCTAAATCAGAAATAAGTTTTAATGGAAATGCTTGGCCCATCGTAGCACATATCTGAGAAATTACTTTCTCAACAGCCCCTACAAAACTGAAGTTCTGGTAACAGAGAATTAGGTTTGTGTCACTTTTGTCATCACTACAGAAACATCATCTTGAGCCACCTACAGTGCATGCTCTCTCTCTTCACAGTGTGTGAAAGTAGGCATTAATAGAAAGAAGATGGAAAACTGACCAGCAAATATGCCAAAGAAACATTACAAAATATCAATTAAAATATACCTGTATAATTTCATCAGCCTTGACTGTAAATTACTCCTTGAATTTGCTCTTGATAATGTCTTTAAATATGTATAAATGGAAAAGAATAATCAAGCTAGTTTCACCTCAAGATTTCGGAAAAATTTTATTCAAAATTACAAGTACTTTGTCATAAAAATAATTCGTTTTGTTGGCAAAGTAATTTTAAATACCTTTGCCATGTAACTAGAAATACTTGACTGCTGCAAATAACTTTAAATGGTGGACAATTATCTGCCAACATGAAGTCTTTGCTTAATCCTAGTGGGGTTTTTTGGGGTGTATGTGTGTTTTCTGGAGGCTTTTTGAAACCTGACTTCCTCAGTGAATACTCCTTCAAGTAACTGTCACCAGACACCATGAACCACTATATTACATGGATTGAAAACTGCATTATCTGGGACCTAAATCAGAGAAGATCTCATTAGATCTAAAATCTTATTCTTCTTTTACAAAAGCTTCATAGAGAGAGGAGCTACAGAATCGTAAGAGAAGAGAAAAAAAATAGAAGTAGGCTGTTAGAGGGAGGGCTTGACGATGGGAACTGAGCACTATACTGGAATATTTAATAAGAGTACTAACATTTATTGAGGATTTACCTCATGCTGGCCATTATTCTAAGTAGTTTTTGAATCAAATGCCAAATAGTTGAACTATGCTCAAATTTGATGTCCATATATTTGGGTTCTCATGACAGCCTCTGTGGACGGTAAGTGAGGTCGTCAAATCCTCACGTCCTTGTCCTGGCGCTTAGGGAGCCCCAGCAGTACCCCCGGCTGACTCACGTAACGTGGCACAACCGGGATTCAAACCCAGACCTTTGGTTCTGAGTCCAAGTATTTCCCCACACACTACACTGTCCTTCTGCCAAGAAGAAGCTGGTATTTCGTCTACCTTTTCCTTCACTTAACTCCTGCCCTTTCCTCAGTTTCAGAGAAGTGGTTTGGCAAAAGGCTAGGCTGATTCAGAAGACCAGCTGCTGATTATGGGAAGGAGGGCCAGAGCCCCACCCACGCTGTCACTGGAGTTTTCCTGGGGATTGAGGGCAAGGGGATTGTCTCCAGATAATAAAAATCATCATGCTACGGTGGAAAGACCATTAACTTTGGATCCCAGCGTTTTTGAGTTCTAGTTCTAGCTCTGCCACTTGCTGTGTAAATGTGAGCAAGAAAATTCAGTTGGGACGCTAAGAGGTTCCACTTTTCTTACAAATCCTTCAATTCATGGCGTGAATTGCTTTGTGAAGAGTATTGACTTTGGACTTCTGCCTCTCTTCTTAACAGGGAAGCTGGCACTAACTTTTCAAGTGTCCCCAGTATCCGCTTCCCTCGTGAGAGGAGAGAGAAAGAAGCAGCACTAGAACTCTTGTACCTTCCGCTTTTCCTTCTCCTTGTTCTCCCTCCTGCTGATTATAATGTTGTAGCCTGAAATGTATCCTCAATGTGAGAGACCCCATTTAGCAACTGGGAAAAGAAGGAGAAGAAGAGCGAGCAGCTGGGGAGGAGTGAGCAGGAGTCTCCCCCAGCGCAGGTGTCACGTTTTCACTGTGCTCTGCAGAGATTGTTGTATCTGACACCCAAACATTCCATAATATTGCCGAGGCAGGGATGGGTGAGGACGTAAAGCAAGAAGGCAGAGAGTAATGAGAGAGACGCTGAACCGTGAGCAGGTGCCTGTCCCGAGATGCTGTGTTAAGTAGAAAAGATTGGGGAGGAGGCGTTCTGTTCCACTCAGTCTAGTCCGCCCCACCCCGCTGATGGACATGTTTAAATTTAGGGAAACTTAACGCTGAATGCTCTTGGAGTTTTCCACTCTCTAGAAAAACCTGTCTTAGTAAATGAGCATGCCCAGTAGGGGTTCCCAAATGCTCAGGGGGAAGCCAGATAAAAGAGGAGCCTAAAGGATGAAACAACAGGGAATTGTCAAAGAGGATGAAGGGCCGGAGACATCACCCTCAGTCCACATTTCTGCCAACTGGTCTTGACTTTCTTCTAACTGGATGTATTCCTTCTGAACCAGAAGTGAGGGGGCACCATTGCTTAAGTCAATCGATTACTAAATTTGAAGTCGATTATGGAAGCCAGCGTGGGCTTTAAGTGCTACTGCTGACTGGAATAGAAACACAACATC